CCTCTGATCAATAGAAGATCAAAAATGAGTTTGAAAAACGAGATTACTATCTACAACACGATGTTCAAGCCTGTCATCATGTATGCTTCAGGCGTCTGGGGACAAGCGGCGAAATATAATATCTCCATTCTGGAGATATTGCAAAATGAGCTAATGAGGATGATTGTGAATGCTCCTTGGTTCGTGCGGAATGAAGCCATCCGCAGAGATTTGCAGCTGCCTTCCATCAAGCAGTCCATTTAGTCGAGGAATCAGCGACTTTTTGATTGTGCGGAAACTCAGGTCAGTTAGGGAAGCTATAGATTATGCTATAGACGACCCCTCTCGATATAGAAGGCCCCGACACTCCGTCGAATGAGGCCCCTATGTCCTCCGTTAAAAAGTTGAACAATTTTTTTCATCCATCCCACCCCAGCCAGGTAAGGGTACACCGTGAAGGGCGGCACTGATGTCTGAGGACTTCATGCCGCCAACATCTCAGTCATAAATCCATTTGTCCTTCTTCGACAAAAATCAGTCCAAAGGGTAAGGAAGCTGGGCTCCAACCTGAACAAAACCAAGACGACGTGCAGTAAAAGAAGTTGGTATTCATCGACCTATATTGCTCGCCATTGACAGTGATAGGCTAACTAACGTCGTTCTCAAAAGAATATGGATCGATGACACCGCTAGGCCAAAATCCACACCAAACAGTGACTTTTCGGGATGCAATGGACGCTCTTGGATCTCATGTGGATTGGTATCCTTCCAAATTCGACAATTTTGTTTGTTCACGTACCCGTTCATCCAGAAATGGACCTCATCGCTGAATATGATTTTTTGATGAAAATTAGGGTCAGTTTCTAACTGCTCCAGAGCCCTTTCAGCGAACACACGTCATTGTCAATAGTCGTTCACTTTCAGTTCCTGGATCAGTTGAATTTTGTAAGGGTGCATGCTTGAATCACCACCCAAAATTCTCTAAGCTGTGGTCTGCGAAAGTCCGAGTTTTTTTGAGCAACGCGAAATCGACTGCCTTGAATTTTCTGCACACTCTCACAGACAGCGGCGATGTTTTCGGCGGATTTTGCATTGAGTCGATGTACGGGTGTTGGTCGATCATTTACTGAATCACTGGACTCAAATTTATCCAATAATGAATAATAAAATATCTCATTGGAACGATTATGGCGACTGTAAAATGGGCGAAGCGCGCGGTATGTTGCTCGACCAGGACACCCATTTTGATAAAATAATATTATTATTTGCACCTGTTGTTGGATGCTTTATCCGTCCATGGTGATTCGGCAAAACATACTGAATAGATGACAAATAATTTGACCAATGTAGCTTCAACAATTGTCAAAGTTCGAAATTTCCTGTTGAAAGACCCTATATTTGAGGTTTTTTCTTTTTGTTTTAAATAACTTTCAGATTTCTGGTGTGATGCAAAAATGTCATTCAACATTTTCGTGTCATAGGTTTCTCTTTCAACTATTCAGAAGATTGTAATAACATGCATTAAAAAATATCACGGCGCTACTATATGATTCTTTATCCTTGCTCACATATATTCATTAACGAAATATTCGACGAATAAGGAATAATTGTCAACGCAGGAAAAGAGCTAGCTTTTTAATTACGTACTATCCAATGACCAATATTTTCAATAGTTTTGGAGTAGCCATCGTTTTAGACTGAAAATCAATTATATAATATATATAATCCCTCTGTGACGAATAAATCCAGAACAAACGGAACTGTTCTCTCGTACCATTTTTGTACTTAAGTACACTTTACAATTTGTATTTTTTCGTGAAAAAAACTACTTTGTAAATGGTTTTTATAATAGAAAGATACGAAATTTATGAGTTTGATAATGGCATAACTGCGTCAACTCTTAAAGTATCCGATTTCATGTCTATTAGTACGTGATATTTATATCATTTCAAACTTATTATTGCTTCCAAACTTTCGTCATTCAACCTTTCTAGTCGTAAATTTCGAACAATTCGACAAACTTATTAAAAGCACGAAGCGTTCGTATCACAACGGAATAATATATAAAAGTGTATTTTTAGTTGGCATTTCGACCTATTTATATTTTAATAAGACGCTAGAAATGACTACAAAAAGTCAGACAATATGAGTTCAACTACAGAAAGGTAACGACTATCGATAATAAAACTACTGAAACCTACGAATACTACGAATAGATGATTGAAGTTGCTCATTAGAGAATAGATAATAATTTCAGGGATGAATCAACATCAAAGAGAAATACGTACTCATACTTTGGCAAATGATCTGCTCATACAGCAGCGTAATTGTTTCGATCGCTGGCTAGCTAAGATCTAGTTCAGATGAGACGTTTTACGCGCCATTCAAATAAAGCGTTTACTTTGTAGTAAATGTTCCAGAGGTAGCGAAAAATCATGTGAATTTCTGGAACTCCATCTAGTGTTCCCTAATATGACTAATAACCAGTCCGTGCAAGGATGATGATCGACTGTATTGCCAAACATGCGCCAAACTAACTGACTGTTATAAGGAAACAAGTATAGCTAAGGCACTAGTCAATCTAATAATAACAATGATGATATTCAAACAAGACTCAACCTCTGACGGAAGCAAGAAACTCTTTCGAAGGTTCGAAATTGATGAACATTTCAGTCTACCAGATCACTATTATAATAGTCATGCAGTCATTGTTCACTGTGGTTCTGGTGTTGAATTTGGTCATTATTACGCCTTGGTCGAAGACAAACCGGACTGGTTTAAGTTTGACGATAGTCGTGTCACGAAGTGTTCTGGCGATGTATTGAATCTATTGGAGCCTCTGGAGACACCCTACATTTTGTTTTTTTGAGAGAGAGAGGACTTTGGCAGATCAAGATCTACAGATGATGAGGTGCTGCAGGTTTTTCCAGGTCCTTATGGTGGTATGTTACAGAGAAAAGTTCTTTCCGGCATCGAATGCCGAATGAGAAAGCGTTTTCTGTATCTCAGTTGCAAGGGAAAAAGACGCTTGAAGAGATTTCGTTATTCATTAAAAATAATAATAATAACCTTAGGTTCCGCGAGAAACCTTCCCGCTTATTCCAAGAGCCTCCACGTGTTGTGGATAATCCGTCGACCGCCCGTCAGGTGGAATCCTTCTGGAAGGATATCTATGAACACCCGCAGCCACTCAATTAAGACACCGGTGTTGCCCTACTCTTCGGGGGATATTGAATTCGTTATGGGGAACGAGAAGTGCCGAATTTATTGGAACTATTCGTTCCCCACCCTCAGGCTCATACAAGCTAATAGGCCTGATGTAGTCCTTCTTGACTACCAGACCAAAACGATATTTGTCGTGGAGTTTTCAGCTCCTGGCGAGACGAATATCGTCAGAAAAGAGGAGGNAGTTAGCAAAATTGAAAAATAGTTTCGTGAAACTGGACATGTAAAACATTTTTAAAAACCAGGTGATGAAAAAAAACTTAGATGTACTTGTAGAGATTGAGGAAAATCCGCATGAGACAACTCGAGAACTTGCCGCCAACAATGATGTAAGTAAATCATCCATTTTGAGAGTTTTGCATAAAGAAAAATACCACCCTCACAGAGTTCAGTTGGTTCAGGAGTTGAATGAAGATCATCCTGATAGAAGGCAAGAATTATGTGAATTGATGATGGACAGAATGAATGCCGATTTACAGTTCATAAACAAAATAGTGTTTTCCAATGAAGCGACGTTTCATTTAAACGAAACAGTTAACAAACAGAACTGTAGATATTGGAGCAGAGAAAACCCTCACTGGATCTTGCGACTCACACTCAATATCCTAAAAAAGTTAACGTTCGGGCTGGTATCATTAACAATGAAATTGTTGGCCCTTATTTTTCTGAGGGCACTGTTAATAGTGAGGTTCATCTAGATTTTTTGATTAACTTTTTAGTGCCCACATTACAAATACATTTTCCTGATGTCAATCATCCAAGTTAGATAGATCGAACTATTTACTACCAACAAGACGGAGCTCCACCGCATTTTGCACGTACAGTTAGAAATTATTTAAACGAGGTTTTTCCCAATAGGTGGATTGGAAGGACTGGAACGTCGAATGGCTGGTTAGATCCCCCAATTTGACTCCTCTCGATTACTTCTTATGAGGTTATGTAAAATTTAAAGTATATTTTAACAGACCAAACAATATTGCTGATTTAAAACTTAGGATAAAGGAAGAAATCAACAAAATAACCCCCAAAGTCATGCAAAATGTACGGGAATTCCAAAATTGCCTCGGTTATTGTCAAGAAGTTGATGGTGGTCATTTTGAACATTTAATTTAATTTTAAAGTACATTGAAAAATACATTCTAAATATTATGTGGCAGTATTATCTTCATTCTACGTAAAGTTTTGTGATACCTAGAGACATTATCAAAATTGTACAACCTAAAAATCAATATTCTCTGTTATGATTGCACCAAACTCAAAAAACTTCATATTGCTGAACAGAGGACTAAAATCCTTTTCCAACAAGGTGCTACACGACCTTTGCTATTTAAAATTTTCGAGAGGTGCTTATAATTACGAAAGGGGTGCTGGAGGGGAATAATATTTTCATACTGTAAATTGTCAATTCAAGAATAAAAATCTACCTGTTTCAGGTTTTTTCCACATAGTACATAATAACGCTCAAAATGAATTTATTCCATACAAATGGACCGCACTGTATATAGTGTATATTGTAATTTTGTATTTACTAGTATTGTCTTCATTGCATGATTTGTATAGATTAACTTTTTTATCGATTTCTGCATTGACGAACCTGAAATATTTGTTATAAAAGAAAGGTAATGTACAAGTTAAAATGAATCCATCAATGCACTCATAGTTCTGCCTGATGGAACCAATGATGGGTCGAAACTGCGCTGCCATCATGAATGCTTCATTTTTGGGTTGTGGTTTTGACTAAGCTTCGCATATGCATATTAACTCCTTCTGAAGTTGAATACTTTTTTCTTTTTCAGGGGTCTTGTGCATGTTGGTTATCCCTAGGCAAAAGAATTCAAATGGACGAAACAGGGTGGACGATCCTAAGGATTTTGTCGCAACGCACAAACGACGAGGTGGCGAAGGAATTCGTCAAACTAAAATCTGATATCAGACAAGAAAATCCGCTTCCAAATCAATAAGGCATCTCCTCCAGGTTCAGCCGCCGTGTGACTTTATATACAGACAGCTGTGTATAGGCTTCTACGTGTAAAATATTAATTGTTTTATGGACCGTCCCAACAGACTGATGACAAAAAATCCACGCATCATCACATTCTAATAATAATATTTAATGTGCCTCCCAACTTGTACATTCAAACAATAAGTAAATAACCACTTTATGACGTGTATCATCCTTCACCCATGATCATCATTCAACATTGAACTGTAAAAATCGCAATAAAGGGCAAATTTTTACATTCCTCTCATATATATAACTTAAAATGTGATTCAGATAGTTTAAGATATTGGATAGGTGAAATTATATCAGATATTTTTATGCATGTAGGAAATTTTCAGTTTGCGGACTCATGCATGGACCGTATATTTCGTCATAATTTTCTATATCTTCCACTCTATGCACAATAATAGCTATAACCGATTCCAATTATTTTTGTTTATTCTTATAAGAAATGACCTACAACACAATGCTAGTCTGAAGAATATCTAAAATTGAGCCTTATATACTTATTCATTCGTAAAACTAAACTCTCGCTTTACTTAAATAATTATAACTATAATATCCGTATCGCATTTTTCGCTGTGATAATAGTACAGTGTGTATCGTGTCGTCTGTGTTGTACTTTTACTCATATGCTGAAAAGTCTATT